AATGTAAGGGGAATCCACAAATGTAAGTGGAATCCGCAAAATTTGTATGCGTAATCCGCAAATGTAAGCGGATTCGGCTAAATGTTAACAGTTTCCGCAAATTGTAAGTGGATTCCGCATTTTGTTTATTACTCAACTTGCATATAAACAATTAAAAGCTAGAGGTGGAATAATTGATTTATTATTTATGGGAATTTGAACGCAAAAGAACTTATCCATTTGTCAGCGGAAACCACAAACCAATCTTAAAACAAAATGCGGATTCCACTTACAATTTGCGGATTCCACTTGTAATTTGCGGATTCCACTTACAATTTGCGGATTCCACTTACAGTTGTGGATTCCGCAACAGCTCAATTTAACGATACAAATGTTTTATCATTTGTTTGTGGGTTCCACAAACTGTTCTGGATTCCACAAAAACTGTTGCGGATTCCGCAAATTTGCATACTTTTGGAGCAATTTTGAGCGGTACTATGATTTACGTATTTGTTTGTGGAATCCAAAACAGCATAGAAGATCAAAAAAAAGTAGAACTGTTGAGGATTCCGCGACAAAACCGATTATGGCTTGTTGCGGATTCCGTTTACAATGCAGAGAATGCACAGTTTGCACTCGTAATGAAACACATTAAAATTCTCAAAAAATTTTCCATTGTCGAGAAAAACTGAAAACCGGTTTAAAATTTTTGATTTTTTTGTCTTAGTTCGAGCGAATAAAGCGAGCGAGCGAGCAGTTTTATTGTAATAGCTTTTAAGCTTACAATTGTTTATTTTAAAAAGTGAAAAATAATTTTTGTTTAAGTAAGGTTTAGTTTTTTTTTAAATCAAATTATTCAAAATTTAAAAAACTGCAAAAAGCTTAAAAAGCGTTTCGAAAATTTTTTTTCGATTTTTTTGTTTTTCTAGTTGTTTTTCTACAAAAATTGTTTTTTAGATTACTTTTCTTACTATGAATGTCAATTATACCTAATCCCCAGTTTTTGTCAGCTCATTTTATCACACCACGCCGAAAAAAACGGCAATAATTTGAAAAAAAATATTGTTTTTTAAGACTATTATGGGAACATTCTGTGCTACTTGCGCAGTAACCGGCTTTTCTTGTTGTTGTCGCATTTTTCTGTAGAACTAACTGACAAAAGTGAGCACAATTTCAATAAGTACTCATTTTTGCAATTATGAAGCATTTGGTTTAGCCGAATTTCTGCAGTCTGCCGAAATACTGTTTCTGATAAAGCACATTGACCGGGTTCACAATTGGCACAATTTTTATCTTCAAGTTGCCAGCTATTTGAATTCAACCTATTTTACTGTTTGAATTCAACCTATTGCTTAATTTTTACTTTAAAGAGGTACAAAAGGAAATATCAAAAGAGCACCAAAAAACTCAAAAAAAACTCTTAAGATCTGATGCGTATCATCTTCCGTTGCGATGAACTACTTCAAACTATTGCATCTTCCTAATGCTGCCATTGGATTTTCTGAGACTGGCTCTTTCAAACTGTTCCGCGGAGACCCCCGACTGTTGGCTGGTGGACACTTCCATGTCTTGGTTAAGGGGTGCATGTATGCCATTTTTGAGTTCTCACTCTCCCAACACTCATCATTCGTTCGTGCCTTCTGCTGCCTCCAAAGGAACAGGGGAGATATCCTGGTCCTGCACGTTTATCTGGAAAAAACAGAAGCTTACTGATACGATGAAATCAATTTAAAAACACTAAATTCCCATATTACATACGGTAACTCGATAATAGGTACAAAATTCGAAATAAGTGATCATCTCCATCTGTATTTTCGTCAAGTTAAAGACAATCTTGGAGCATTTGTGCTTTTTAAATGCCCGTTTGACTCAAAAAATGTATCGTAGCATTTCCTAATTCCATTCTCCGCATCGCCTACAATCAAAAAATGCCTTAATTCGAAAAAAAAAACAATAAAGTTTTGGTCGTAAAAATCTGTGCTACTTCCAGAGCAACCGGTCACGCAGGTTAGAATGCAAATAAATTTTATATCCTTTTTAATTATTGCGTATGATAGATATTGAAGGCCCTATATTTAATTTTTTAAAAAGAAGAGAGCGCTGTTAAAAAATTACGAGTTTATTCAAGAAAATTGAAATCTATTTTTTATCAAATATCAGAAAGTCATGGAGTATTGAATTATGATCCCGGTGGGCCTTGCTTGCTCCAAAATTAAAGGACATTTGATAAGTGTTAATACAAACAACGATAGCAATTTGTTTTGCAAGTAGCACAAAAAAATTCAATCTCAAGTATTCAAGTAGGAAAAATCTAAAATCAAGAATGAAAATTTAAATTGAAAAAAGTCATCATTTATGTTAATTTCTATATCTTTTCTGTCTTTTTTTAAAACAAGCAGTTGAACCATATAAGGTTCACGAATAGTTTTTAATTTTTGCTAAAAACTTATGAATTGCTATAGAGTTTGATTGTATGTCTTCAAATTGAGCTCTGCATCAAGCAACAAAAGTGCTGTAAATTTGGTCATTAAATTGAAGTTTATCAAATCAAAAATCTAATATCAAAGACAGTAGAATTTCCGAAGAATCTTCTTTTGTCAGAACAAACAAAGTCAACCAACTGCTGTGCAATAGCACAGAATGTTCAAAATTCAATGATTCAAACAAGAAAAATCTAAGACCAAGAACGAAATTAAAAAATCAAAAAAAATCATCATTTAAAATAATTTAAAAATCTTCTTTCTAAAACTCTTTTTTCCTCCTTTTGTTAACGTATTTAGTTATAGCTGAAAAATTTGAAATTGTTAAAGAAATCACATGGATGTCTTCGAGTTTGAGTTCAGCGTAATTTTTTTTGTATATTTGTCCAGCAAACCGAAAATATTCATACCCATTTGAAACCACATTAAAAAAATTTTGGTTCTTATGAAATCCAAATCATGGCTGAAAAAGCATCATTATGATATCACACTTGACTCTCTAAGTTTTCTTTGGATTGGTCAAATGTTTTGTAAAAACACACCTTCAACATTAGCTTCCTAGCACTCGGATGAGAAGCAAAAATCTAAAAACCTAGTTTTATTTATGATAGTTTGAACAATCAGCAGTTTGCTTACGTATTCATTCCCGCACTGACAAAAATGGATGAGGATCGATTTTAGTATGAAAAAAGTACGTTGATTAAATTTAGATCAATTTTACTGTGAAAAAAGTACGTTGATTAAACTTAGATTGATTTTAGTATGAAAAAAGTACGAAGATTAAATAAAAAGATGAAGTTTGATTTGGATCGATTTAAAATCGATTTATATTGATCTTCAATCCCAAATCAAAAACTTATCTAAATCGATTTTAAATTAATTTAAATCCATTTTTTCCAGTCTGAATTTGTTTTTATTTTTAAGGGGATTAAAACTGATTTAAATTGATTTGAATAGATTTTTTTTAATCAAGATTTATCAGTTTCAAATTTTTATTGCCTTTTTATTTCTTGCCTATTATTTTTCATTAAACATCCATAGCGTTTTGTAGCATAAAAAAGACCAAATTAAAAGACCAAAATATCGATAAATTTCTATGATTTTCTTGCATATTTTGAGATCAAAAACTGATCTATATTGACCTTTTTCTTGATTCGTTTCATAAGTTTTTGCTTAAAATCTGATTTACTTTCTTGATTTTCTATGATTTTATTGCATATTATTGAAATCGCAATTTAATTTTACCTGAGTTTTGTTAACAATGTTGATGCGCGAATTCTGATTTGTAATGATGATTTTCTAGATTTTCATTGCATATTTTTGAGCTCAACATCTGGTTCATATTAACAAATTTTATTTATTTCTTGAACTCTAAAACATCTGGCACGTGTGTTTTCATTTGAAAAATCAAGAAAAAAATATGTTAATTAGTTTTTCAAAAAAAATGTTTTTTTTTGCTTTGTAAGCAAAAAAAATCGATTTTTGGTGCGTCAGAAAATCCATCGAAATCGATTTTAATCGATTTTAAAATTTTCAAAAAGATCGATTTAAATCGATTTAAGTGAGCTTCTGATAGATTTCAAGAGAGATTCGGATGGATTTTAGTGAGTCGGAAAATCCATCGAAATCGATTTTAATCGATTTTAAAATTTTCAAAAAGATCGATTTAAATCGATTTAAGTGAGCTTCTGATAGATTTCAAGAGAGATTCGGATGGATTTTAGTGAGTCGGAAAATCCATCGAAATCGATTTTAATCGATTTTAAAATTTTCAAAAAGATCGATTTAAATCGATTTAAGTGAGCTTCTGATAGATTTCAAGAGAGATTCGGATGGATTTTAGTGAGTCGGAAAATCCATCGAAATTGATTTTATTCGATTTTTTAGACACTTAAATCAATTTAAAAGTTTCAAAAAGATTGATTTAACTCGATGTAAAATCCATTTAAGTTTGTAAAATGTACATAGTTAATCAATTTTGATCAATTTGAAATCGATTTAAAATCAATTTAAATCCACAGGAAACCATTTCTGTCAGTGCGGGTTGGCTTTAAGTGCAACCAATCAGAATTCCGAAAGATGTTTTTGGTTGCTTTCAGCAATGGGATCAAAAGAACTCTTCATTTGTACCACCAATAAATTTAAAATCGTAATACTTGCTTTGCTAAAAAAATTTCTGATTATTGTTCCGACCACGAAATGGGAATGAGTTTTATATAAGTTGTGTTTCAATCTTTCTACTCTTTTTCGCAATACATGAAGGTCCCAGTGATTTATCGTATTGCCATTTTGAAATCGTGATTGACCAATATTAATAAGTATTCTTCTGGCGTGATTGATCAAATTCTCAGATTTTTTTTCGGCAGAGAAAAACTGAATTGATAATTTGGTTTGTACTCCATTTTAGAGCAAGTTAAGCTCCAATTAGCACTTCTCATGCACTAAACACTTGATAATCCTCATGTGGACTGAATTCAACTGGATATTTTTACCGTCGTTTTTTTCTGAATTTGTCTTTTTGCGGCCTAAGAATGACATTACCATTGACACTTCATTGATCCTCTCCTCCTTCTGTTGTGTGTATTTGAAAGCCATCTGCCCTGCATTCTCTACACTGTGCTTCACAGCCTCAAACAGTTGGGCTACTTTGGCTTTCTTCCTCTCAAATGACTCCACTGACCCCTGTGATAACGTCAGCTCCGGCTTGCTTCAATTACATATACTATTTATTTTGACGCGTAAACAAGTCACAAATAGTCTTTCGGCAAAAAAAGATGATAACACCATACTGAAAATTAAGACATTTATGAAGGAAAGGACCACCTCAGTCACGGCTAACCACTGTTGCGCTTATTTGTTAAGATTTTCTCACTCTGGGAAGTGTTGCTTCACGTTTAAACAACGAGCACACCACAAAACAAAACCTTCTGTGCACTTAAGTTTTTGCTCCAACTCCAGAAGCATGCACAGGTTTTTTTTTGAGGATGGGGGCTGTTTTTGCGAGAAAAAAATTAAAATTTTAGTCGAAAATTTTTTTGGTTGACTAAATTGATTTTCTGAGCTCCCCTAAAGCTCTATCAAGACCCATTTATTACGGCCTTTGCAGAGAACTTTTTAAAAAAACAGGCGAAAAACGAGAAACTTTTGAAAGTCAATTTAACCAAAAATTTGGGCATTTTTAAATCAGATTTATTGGCATAGGACGGCGGCAGTAGACACGCCACAGCGTCTCTTAAGTTAGTTAAGTTTAGCGGGAATTTTTTTTTTATTTCGTCTACTGAAAGTATTTAGTAGTAAACAGGTCTTGTAATCTGCTCAGGCGATTGTTTGACGGTTTCATCGTTGTTTTTCAAGCCAAGTCGTATTTAAATCAAATTGCGTACAAGCAAACAAGCAAAATTAACTTGAAAGTCGCTTAAAGTCACTTTTACGAGCATAGTAGTTTTTAGTGAAAGTTGTATTACATAATTTAGCTCACGAACGAACTTTTTTTACGAAACACCTTTTACAAGTAAAGGAAACAAGAGAGTTCGTTTTGAAAACTAGTGGTATGACAATTAGAAGAAAGATTTTTAAACAAAACTCGCTCTTCTCGGTTTTGTAAGTTAAGGATTGGTGTTTATGCTATAATGATGTTGAGGTCAATCGAAAAAACTGTAAGATGAACCGTCGGCACAAAAGATACTAGTTTTCTACCGAATTTATTTTGTTTTTAAAAAAATCATTGTAACAATTGTATCTATGATAATTGGGAACTTCTCAATGGTCAGATCAATTTTTAAAAAGATCATTGAAACATCCTTGAATTATGTAAACAAATAACAAACAATTTGATTAAAAACAGGCTATCCAGACCGTACCTTTAGTTTAAGAGCGTTTCATAATTCCTTTGCAGTTCTCATGAGGTTGGTCAGAAAAAATCTAGGGTCTACTTTGATCTTCCGTTCCTCTGATTTCGTGATGACATATTTGGTATCCTTGATATTCGCCAGTTCAAGCCCACTGGATTGATTTTTTCGCTCTTCCTTGCTAGGAACTGCAATCTCTCCTTCGTTTGGCTTCGAAATTGCTTCTTCTTGTTGTTGTTCCGGAGGAACTTTTTCTTCTTGGTCTGCTGGGTGTCCATCTCTGTCTATGATTTCTGGTTTGTCATCATAATCATCTTCGATGCCCGGATCCCTCCTTCCACCGCACATTGTTTCCTGGTCCGGCTTGTCGTCAATATGATTGAAAGCTTCGCTGATTTCAGGTGAGACTTCAGGAATAGTTTTCTCCTTTATTGGGGGAGCTCTGTCAAAATCTTGGGGTCCCAAATCTTGTCGACGGTTTTGTTCAAATCGGTATCTCGGATTTGACGATGCTTGTTGAAATGTTTGCTGATGATGTTGACGTCGTTGAGTTTGCTGTTGGAATTCTTGCGCATGGCTACTTTGCTGAAACGCAGATTGTTGAACATTCTGTTCTGCTTTGAAGTTTGAAACTTGTTGGACATTATGACCTTGAGCTCGTTCAGCTTGAATTTCGTGACTTTGGTTCAAATTTGGTGAACTATAGTCATATTCCAAATAACCATCCTCCTCATTTTTAAATGGAACATCAGTTTCAAGTTGTCCATTTCTCTCTCGACGAAATGCGGCGTTCTGTTTTTGCTGGAACCTTCCATCCCTTTCAGCGTGTGCAAATTGAATATTTTCCCTTTGCAGCATTTGTTCATTTTCAAGATCATTTTGACCAGTTTGAAAATCACTCTCAATGTGCTCAAAATTATCATTTTCTCCATTTTTGGCATGACTGAAGCCAGAAGTATCGTTTTGTGAGGTAAAAACTTCATTTTCGAGATTGTTTTGCTGCCAATTTTCACAATCTTTTTGTCCCTGGTTCCTTTTTGTTGATTTTGAAACCTTTATTAGCGTTGTTGCTGAACTTGGACATTATTTGACATTTGAAAAGCCTGATCATTTTCAAAAAAGTTTCTTTCAGTGATGTTGTTTTTGACGCGCTCAGTTTCTGTTTCATTTTCGTTTAAGTTTTCAACTTCTTCGTTAGTTTCCCGCATTTCTTCAACGTGCTTAAATTGTTCACCCTCCTCGTTTGCCTGTTCACGCGGTGTAATTTGCCGCACTTCTGAAAACTGTGCTGTTTTGAACTGCTCATTGTCGACCATAAAATTCCATTATTGTCGATATTATGGTCGTTAACCTCGAACCCTGAATCCATAACTGATTGCTCTCCGGCAGCAACTTGATCATGTCGTTCTGGTTGCGGAACAGTTTCCCTCGGCGTTTCTGTTAAAGAAATCACATGGATGTCTTCGAGTTTGAGTTCAGCGTAATTTTTTTTGTATATTTGTCCAGCAAACCGAAAATATTCATACCCATTTGAAACCACATTAAAAAAATTTTGGTTCTTATGAAATCCAAATCATGGCTGAAAAAGCATCATTATGATATCACACTTGACTCTCTAAGTTTTCTTTGGATTGGTCAAATGTTTTGTAAAAACACACCTTCAACATTAGCTTCCTAGCACTCGGATGAGAAGCAAAAATCTAAAAACCTAGTTTTATTTATGATAGTTTGAACAATCAGCAGTTTGCTTACGTATTCATTCCCGCACTGACAAAAATGGATGAGGATCGATTTTAGTATGAAAAAAGTACGTTGATTAAATTTAGATCAATTTTACTGTGAAAAAAGTACGTTGATTAAACTTAGATTGATTTTAGTATGAAAAAAGTACGAAGATTAAATAAAAAGATGAAGTTTGATTTGGATCGATTTAAAATCGATTTATATTGATCTTCAATCCCAAATCAAAAACTTATCTAAATCGATTTTAAATTAATTTAAATCCATTTTTTCCAGTCTGAATTTGTTTTTATTTTTAAGGGGATTAAAACTGATTTAAATTGATTTGAATAGATTTTTTTTAATCAAGATTTATCAGTTTCAAATTTTTATTGCCTTTTTATTTCTTGCCTATTATTTTTCATTAAACATCCATAGCGTTTTGTAGCATAAAAAAGACCAAATTAAAAGACCAAAATATCGATAAATTTCTATGATTTTCTTGCATATTTTGAGATCAAAAACTGATCTATATTGACCTTTTTCTTGATTCGTTTCATAAGTTTTTGCTTAAAATCTGATTTACTTTCTTGATTTTCTATGATTTTATTGCATATTATTGAAATCGCAATTTAATTTTACCTGAGTTTTGTTAACAATGTTGATGCGCGAATTCTGATTTGTAATGATGATTTTCTAGATTTTCATTGCATATTTTTGAGCTCAACATCTGGTTCATATTAACAAATTTTATTTATTTCTTGAACTCTAAAACATCTGGCACGTGTGTTTTCATTTGAAAAATCAAGAAAAAAATATGTTAATTAGTTTTTCAAAAAAAATGTTTTTTTTTGCTTTGTAAGCAAAAAAAATCGATTTTTGGTGCGTCAGAAAATCCATCGAAATCGATTTTAATCGATTTTAAAATTTTCAAAAAGATCGATTTAAATCGATTTAAGTGAGCTTCTGATAGATTTCAAGAGAGATTCGGATGGATTTTAGTGAGTCGGAAAATCCATCGAAATTGATTTTATTCGATTTTTTAGACACTTAAATCAATTTAAAAGTTTCAAAAAGATTGATTTAACTCGATGTAAAATCCATTTAAGTTTGTAAAATGTACATAGTTAATCAATTTTGATCAATTTGAAATCGATTTAAAATCAATTTAAATCCACAGGAAACCATTTCTGTCAGTGCGGGTTGGCTTTAAGTGCAACCAATCAGAATTCCGAAAGATGTTTTTGGTTGCTTTCAGCAATGGGATCAAAAGAACTCTTCATTTGTACCACCAATAAATTTAAAATCGTAATACTTGCTTTGCTAAAAAAATTTCTGATTATTGTTCCGACCACGAAATGGGAATGAGTTTTATATAAGTTGTGTTTCAATCTTTCTACTCTTTTTCGCAATACATGAAGGTCCCAGTGATTTATCGTATTGCCATTTTGAAATCGTGATTGACCAATATTAATAAGTATTCTTCTGGCGTGATTGATCAAATTCTCAGATTTTTTTTCGGCAGAGAAAAACTGAATTGATAATTTGGTTTGTACTCCATTTTAGAGCAAGTTAAGCTCCAATTAGCACTTCTCATGCACTAAACACTTGATAATCCTCATGTGGACTGAATTCAACTGGATATTTTTACCGTCGTTTTTTTCTGAATTTGTCTTTTTGCGGCCTAAGAATGACATTACCATTGACACTTCATTGATCCTCTCCTCCTTCTGTTGTGTGTATTTGAAAGCCATCTGCCCTGCATTCTCTACACTGTGCTTCACAGCCTCAAACAGTTGGGCTACTTTGGCTTTCTTCCTCTCAAATGACTCCACTGACCCCTGTGATAACGTCAGCTCCGGCTTGCTTCAATTACATATACTATTTATTTTGACGCGTAAACAAGTCACAAATAGTCTTTCGGCAAAAAAAGATGATAACACCATACTGAAAATTAAGACATTTATGAAGGAAAGGACCACCTCAGTCACGGCTAACCACTGTTGCGCTTATTTGTTAAGATTTTCTCACTCTGGGAAGTGTTGCTTCACGTTTAAACAACGAGCACACCACAAAACAAAACCTTCTGTGCACTTAAGTTTTTGCTCCAACTCCAGAAGCATGCACAGGTTTTTTTTTGAGGATGGGGGCTGTTTTTGCGAGAAAAAAATTAAAATTTTAGTCGAAAATTTTTTTGGTTGACTAAATTGATTTTCTGAGCTCCCCTAAAGCTCTATCAAGACCCATTTATTACGGCCTTTGCAGAGAACTTTTTAAAAAAACAGGCGAAAAACGAGAAACTTTTGAAAGTCAATTTAACCAAAAATTTGGGCATTTTTAAATCAGATTTATTGGCATAGGACGGCGGCAGTAGACACGCCACAGCGTCTCTTAAGTTAGTTAAGTTTAGCGGGAATTTTTTTTTTATTTCGTCTACTGAAAGTATTTAGTAGTAAACAGGTCTTGTAATCTGCTCAGGCGATTGTTTGACGGTTTCATCGTTGTTTTTCAAGCCAAGTCGTATTTAAATCAAATTGCGTACAAGCAAACAAGCAAAATTAACTTGAAAGTCGCTTAAAGTCACTTTTACGAGCATAGTAGTTTTTAGTGAAAGTTGTATTACATAATTTAGCTCACGAACGAACTTTTTTTACGAAACACCTTTTACAAGTAAAGGAAACAAGAGAGTTCGTTTTGAAAACTAGTGGTATGACAATTAGAAGAAAGATTTTTAAACAAAACTCGCTCTTCTCGGTTTTGTAAGTTAAGGATTGGTGTTTATGCTATAATGATGTTGAGGTCAATCGAAAAAACTGTAAGATGAACCGTCGGCACAAAAGATACTAGTTTTCTACCGAATTTATTTTGTTTTTAAAAAAATCATTGTAACAATTGTATCTATGATAATTGGGAACTTCTCAATGGTCAGATCAATTTTTAAAAAGATCATTGAAACATCCTTGAATTATGTAAACAAATAACAAACAATTTGATTAAAAACAGGCTATCCAGACCGTACCTTTAGTTTAAGAGCGTTTCATAATTCCTTTGCAGTTCTCATGAGGTTGGTCAGAAAAAATCTAGGGTCTACTTTGATCTTCCGTTCCTCTGATTTCGTGATGACATATTTGGTATCCTTGATATTCGCCAGTTCAAGCCCACTGGATTGATTTTTTCGCTCTTCCTTGCTAGGAACTGCAATCTCTCCTTCGTTTGGCTTCGAAATTGCTTCTTCTTGTTGTTGTTCCGGAGGAACTTTTTCTTCTTGGTCTGCTGGGTGTCCATCTCTGTCTATGATTTCTGGTTTGTCATCATAATCATCTTCGATGCCCGGATCCCTCCTTCCACCGCACATTGTTTCCTGGTCCGGCTTGTCGTCAATATGATTGAAAGCTTCGCTGATTTCAGGTGAGACTTCAGGAATAGTTTTCTCCTTTATTGGGGGAGCTCTGTCAAAATCTTGGGGTCCCAAATCTTGTCGACGGTTTTGTTCAAATCGGTATCTCGGATTTGACGATGCTTGTTGAAATGTTTGCTGATGATGTTGACGTCGTTGAGTTTGCTGTTGGAATTCTTGCGCATGGCTACTTTGCTGAAACGCAGATTGTTGAACATTCTGTTCTGCTTTGAAGTTTGAAACTTGTTGGACATTATGACCTTGAGCTCGTTCAGCTTGAATTTCGTGACTTTGGTTCAAATTTGGTGAACTATAGTCATATTCCAAATAACCATCCTCCTCATTTTTAAATGGAACATCAGTTTCAAGTTGTCCATTTCTCTCTCGACGAAATGCGGCGTTCTGTTTTTGCTGGAACCTTCCATCCCTTTCAGCGTGTGCAAATTGAATATTTTCCCTTTGCAGCATTTGTTCATTTTCAAGATCATTTTGACCAGTTTGAAAATCACTCTCAATGTGCTCAAAATTATCATTTTCTCCATTTTTGGCATGACTGAAGCCAGAAGTATCGTTTTGTGAGGTAAAAACTTCATTTTCGAGATTGTTTTGCTGCCAATTTTCACAATCTTTTTGTCCCTGGTTCCTTTTTGTTGATTTTGAAACCTTTATTAGCGTTGTTGCTGAACTTGGACATTATTTGACATTTGAAAAGCCTGATCATTTTCAAAAAAGTTTCTTTCAGTGATGTTGTTTTTGACGCGCTCAGTTTCTGTTTCATTTTCGTTTAAGTTTTCAACTTCTTCGTTAGTTTCCCGCATTTCTTCAACGTGCTTAAATTGTTCACCCTCCTCGTTTGCCTGTTCACGCGGTGTAATTTGCCGCACTTCTGAAAACTGTGCTGTTTTGAACTGCTCATTGTCGACCATAAAATTCCATTATTGTCGATATTATGGTCGTTAACCTCGAACCCTGAATCCATAACTGATTGCTCTCCGGCAGCAACTTGATCATGTCGTTCTGGTTGCGGAACAGTTTCCCTCGGCGTTTCTGCTTCCTGGATTGCGTCGGGATTATTAAGCTCAACTGGTTCCGACTGACTTTCCTGCGAGTTCATAACTTTTTCACTAGCCGACCCAACGTCAAAATCCTTCGACTTTATTACACTTTTTGAGCTGTAGGAGCTACTGTTATTTCTACTCGGAATTTGAGGTTGGGGTTCCCCAGCTATAAAATGATTTTCATCGACAGGTCTAGCTCTGATGTTTTGATAGTCAAATGCTGGTAAACTGTCGCCCCTCAGTCGTGAACCCGATTGTCGCAAAGCCGAGTCGGTTCTGGATTGAGGCCTTGATCTGTAATCCGAAGACAATCGCGACGACAAGTTATTTCGGTTGTCGTGCGGGTTTCCAAAACTACCTCGGTAAGACGACAAGCTACTTCGTTGACTTCTAGCGGCTGGACTGGGCGAGGTATATCTAAACTCGTTCGGCCCCCCATGGAACGACTCTTTCATCAAGTTTTGCCTCTGATCTAGCCTTGAACCTCTATTGTCCGGTTGCATAATGTTTGCTATAGCTGAAGGTGTTCTTTCTTCCTGACTAAAAGACTGAGGCCGCGAGTTCCTCGAATTCCTCTGCATCAACACCGGACTTACAGCTTGATTGTTATTTTGTGGTTCATAAACACTATTTACAACTTTTTGGTTATTGTTTTGAGGATTGCTTTAACCAATTACTACTTCTGCGTTGTCTTGTTTCTGGCTAGCAACGCGCATCATGTCTGGATTATCTGGATGCTGGTAGATGCTATTCACAGTATCTCGCTGCTGTAAATGTCCGGTTGCATAATTTCTGCCATAGCTGAAGGTGTTCTTTCTTCCTGACTTAAAGACTGAGGCCGCGAGTTCCTCGAATTCCTCTGCATCACCACCGGACTTATAGCTTGATTGTTATTTTGTGGTTCATAAACACTATTTACAACTTCTTGGTTATTGTTTTGAGGATTGCTGTAACCATTTACTACTTCTGCGTTGTCCTGTTTCTGGCTAGCAACGCGCATCATGTCTGGATTATCTGGATGCTGGTAGATACTATTCACAGTATCTCGCTGATTTCTTGGCACGTGTGGCTCATTGACAACGTTTCTTCCATTTGGGGGCTGGTGTTTGTAAAAGGCTCTTGAACTTCGATTTCCGCAACCGTTACTAATATTTCTACTTGCATCTCTAGAAGGCGTCCTGGTTAGTGGAGTGCCTCGAATCGAATGCCAGCCTGATGAGCTTGGTTGTCGCATATGCTGAGTTTCTTCGTGAATTCGGTTTGAATATGCTTCCATAGGACGAGAAGGTGAACCCAATTCTGTCTGTTGTTCCATTTCGAGTTGATTTGCCGGCACTGGTTTCCCGTGAACATTGCGAGGATTTTTAACCAGCCCAGGCTCTTGATGAACGTTTTTGCTTTTTTCGGGACTTTGTCGTATAAACATTTCTTGCGTATTGCCCAATTCTTGCCTTTTTTCTTGTCGCTTTGGAACTATTTAGTTTTCGTTTCCCTGATCCCCTGATCCCCGATATGAAACTCCTTGTCATCCAAACACGGACAAAATGCATCCTCATTATTTGCCGAATCCGAGGCGTCATTTGGAACTATTTTCTTTTCATTTCCCTCCTCACCTATATGGAACTCCTGGTCATCCGAACACGGACAAACTTCATCCTCATTATTTGCTGAAACTTGCTCATTATTAGGACTTTTAGACTCGTCTTTTTGTTTCATCTTGTGAATAATTGTTCTCTCAGTGTGACGCCTGGTTGTCGTTTTGGTTATGATGACTCTGTTGACTCCTGGAATCGCAGCCGGTGTGAGCCCTTTAATCGCTGAAACATCAGTCGGCGGGAGGTACTCTAAAAACTCGTTTCTTCTCTCAGGTCCCATTTGACTCCGCGCATCTTCCGAGTTCGTTTTTTCATTCGTTGTGGAACTATTGGGCTGTGCCATCTGGCTTTGCCTTCCCGGGGTTTAACTTTGAGACGCTGATGTCGGCATATTTATAGGTGGTATCGATGAAGCGTTGCTATGATTACTCTGAGGTGGCGCAACAGGAGGTTTGCTTTAGGAAGGAGGTCGCATCGGCATGTCTTTGATCTCCTCGTGTCGAGGGGTACTTACCATACTTGGACTCTCTTCCATACGAGATGTCTGCAATTCTTCATTTTCAACATTTGAATTATTAGGCTGAACTTCGGCGTGGCTTGGAATTGATTGCAATATGAAGTTTTTGGAGCTCCTTGTATGACCTTGAGCTGCCCTCTGTATTTCAGGTTGCTTTGCGGGACTCTGTTCCTTATTTGAGCCATTTGGTAGTGAAAGTTCTCGCTCTTGCTGAGGATTTTGGACGCAATGCTTGTATTCGGTTTTGACCCGATTGTTCTTTGAGTTTCATTGGGACAAGATAGGACATTAAGTTAGGACATTGATAAATTTAGTCTCAATCCAGTTTTGTTACAAATGACTTTGATTGTTTTCTTACAAAAATTTTCTACAATTTGGACTCTTTTTCGACAGAACATTCTGAGACTCAAATTTACTTTTTTTAAAATAAAAAACCGGCGGATTTAGGGGGGGGGGGTAAGGTGGACATTATCTTTCCCCTTCAGGGGTTCGACCACTTACCGACCCGAAGGTTCCTCCATTTGTACTATACCGAGATTTCCATTTTTATTCTGAGATATCCAATAATCATTATTCATTAATGGTGTTTTCACCGCCTAAGGTAGTTGCCAGTTTTAGCGTTCGGTAAATTGTATGATGGTGTAAAATGCGCTTCGAACTGCTTTGTCAAGAGTTAATCTAAGTGTTCACTAAACATTTTTCATTTATTGAAAGTTGGTGGCATTTATATCAACACTGCTCGTAATGTGCGCTTCGAATAGCTCTGACTTCTCAAAAATTTTAGACGTTTTTGACTGTTTGAAAACTTAAGATGGACAATTTTTACTTTTTGAAAGTTTAAGAAGTTTTAAAAAATTTTTGAAGATTTTAGCATTGAACCGATGCCAAATTATATACAACATCTCAACTCAATTTCATTTTCTACTCAATCTATCTATCTATTCTATATTTTAGTCAGTTGAATTAGTTTAAAACAATTGAAAACTGTATTTATTGCCTGATATTATGATAAAAATTTGTTCTTTCGAAAAATTTTTACAATGGCCAGAGGCCAGAAAAACATAAACTACAGCACTTAAATTATCTCACTGACCCACCACACGAGTGTTGTTTCTGCAAAACAATTCCAATTGGTCTCAACAGCGCAAACTGCTTCTCATGCGGACGAGTGATTCAGAAGGAACCGCCCTGAAGATAATTCGACATGAAACATCGACTGATCTCTCTATATCGAGTTGGTGGAATTTTAGGAGACCAAAAAAAGCCTTTGTGGTGGAAACAGAGAAGCTGATACAACTTCAGCCATAAAATAAAAAAATCGACAGAATAATTCAAATTTTATGCAATGTAAGAAATGGTAGTGCTCATGAAACTGCATTTAAAAACTAAATTATGAAAAAAGCATTTTTTTTTAAATGGATCATTAGTAACATTTTTAGTAATTAAAAAAAGAAAACAAAACTTAAACAGTGGCCAATTTTATATTGAGCATGTGTTAATTAACTAGTGAACAAAGAACTCGTTTCAGTTTTAGAGAGCTACTAAAAATCTATTGAATTTAGGAACACATTTACATGAATTTTCAGACCCTGAAAAATATCAATGACAAGTTGCGGAATGATTGGATCAATATTTAATGAAGTACCAGTACTTTTGATTTTTATAGCTTCATTATGGAACTAAAATTATAATTTACTCCAAATTGTATGGGCACGTTTGTAATACAGTTGACGATAAAGGCTTAGGTCAGTGGAAAAGACCTCTAACTGTTCTAATCACTGTCCGATATGTCACTTATGTCACTAGCCGGGCCTCTTCCTTTGTCAAATTAATTTATGAACACAACCGCAGCGACGCATCAATAATTTCCCCATAGCTGCAAATGGCGCACTTATTATTCCAAGTTCAACTAACACTTCCAAGAATTCCTCAAGATACTCATAAGACCGATATAGTCTTTCTAAAGGATCGATGCTGAGCCCGGTAAACTTCTGATAGTCGGAGAAGCATTCAGGGAAAAACTCTTGCACCCAGTTGGCCGCAGACTCCCTCTCTTCTTCCGTCAGTTCTTTTCCTAAAAACTTCAAGTCTATAGCATTAGCAACTAGCGCAAATACAGGCACGTGTTTCTCGTATGGTCTTTGAGCTAACTCAAGCCACTTTCGATCCTCATTTTTGAGCCATCCGAGTTGAGAGAGAAATAATTTCCATATACGTGTGGTCCAACTCAGGCCACGAGTTTCCACTAAACGTATTGAATACTTGAATCTATTCGGAATTTTATAAGCTCTACGACAG